GTGACATCCCAGCCAAGGAAATTCCAGCTGCACAGCTCAGCAGAAATCCCCAGGTTCGCTGCTCTCATCTCAAGGCCCCCAAGAGCTCCTGGAAATGGATATTCCTGCTGAATATATGGATGAGTTCCTTGAGATTCAGGCAGGTGGTTTGATAACGCAGGGTGGGTGGCAGCTGCCACAGGGACGGCAAAATAAACAGGAGCCACAATCGAGGGCATGGCAGGAACCTGCTGATTTTGACAAAGCGATGACCTGGGAGCTGTTGCCAGCACTTCCAGCCTCCTCCTCCCCTTCCAGATCTGCCTCTTCCTCCTAAAGGCGGAATGGAGGGAGCTCATCTGAATCTTAATGCCCTGGGAGAGAAAGTGCCCCAAAATCCAGCTGGGGGTTTCACTCCAAAGCTTTCCCAAACAGTGCTGTTTCAGTGCTTTGGTCCTCTTCCCTGGGACTGTCCAAATTTACCAACTTTCCACTTCCCACCAGCAGCATTTCAAAGCAGATCAAACACCTTGACCCCAGAAAACCCCCTGATCCTCCGACGTGCTCATACACAGGGGGAACTCGACGTGGCTGCACCCCCTTTTGCCTGTGCTGTGCGGAGCATCGCCGGGCGTTACACACCAGTGTGATGAGCTGTGCCGTCCTCAGCCACGCTGGTTCTGGGGGGATTTGCCCGGGTTAGGGAGCAGGAGAGCAGCCGGGCTGAGGGCAGCAGGACCAGAAAAACTCCTTGCCCCAGGGCAGAGATGGGTGAAGGAGCAGGGGCTGTCCCGGGGAGACCCCAGCCACAGATGGGTGCTGGAAAACGTGCCCTCCATCCCTGGGAGGGGGATTTGTGAGTGCCCCCCTCCCCATGTGCAAATTGAGCCCCGATACAACACTCAACTTTATCTCCACTGGTGCCGAAGGTGTCTCCCACTGCCTTCCCTTCCCGGCTGTTTTCCAGCTGACGGGACAAACAGCGCTGGCTCCGGGCTGCTTCGAGCTGAAGGACAGACACAAATACTTGAAATACTTTCCTAATCTCATTTTCTCATGCAAACGGGTTCCCAGGGATGTCGCTCCGAGGCAGGCAGGGTGTGTGGGGTGGCAAGGGAAGGAACTTGCCCAGGGGAGGGTTCCACTAGCCCCCTGAGCCTTCTCCTGCGGTCCCACCATGGAAAGGGTGCCCGAGCCCGCACCCACCTCGCCTGGACCC